TGTAATAAAGGTTCTAAGTGTAATGATTTTTGTGCCTAAATGTAATAAAGGTCCCATGTGTAATAAGTTTTGGGTCTAAATGTAATAGAGGGTCTAAGTGTAATAATTCGTAGGTCTGAATGTAATAAGTCCTATGCGTAATCATTTTTGTGTCTAAATATAATGTTCTAAGAATTTTTGGGTCTAAATGTAATAAAGGTCCTAAATGCAATGTCCTAAATTCAGTGTAATAAGGGCCATGATTGACAAATGATTGATTGATTGTAATAATTTTTGGGTCTAAATGTAATACAGTTCCTATGTGTAATACTTTTAGGGTCTAAATGTAATAAAGTTTCTAAGTGTAATAAGTTTTGGGTCTAAATGTATTAAAGGTCCTATGTGTAATAATTTTTGGGTCTAAATATAATAAAGGTTCTAAGTGTAATAATTTTTGGGTCTAAATGTAATAAAGGTGCTGTGTGTGATAATTATTGTTTGCTCAAATGCGGTCATACTAATTACCGTCAATATGGCCGCCGAGAGCGGCCACGAGCCCCGGGAAATCTTCGCTGCCCTGGCCCATTAGTTGAGGGTCTGGGGCCGCTCGAGGGGGGGGGGGGGTGGAGGTCCCGATGATGGGGTCAGATTTCCCCGATGAAATAATAGCTGTTGTCCCTAAATGTAATATGTCATTATTAATATTGCACTGGACCAGAACAACGATATACAGCTAAAAATACAAATAACAATTTGTGAAAAGGCATCGTTATAACAAAATGAAAAAAAACAAAAACCTGGCAACGAACAGAGCTGTCGTTAAAATTGGATAACAACCTGGCAATTAATTATTTATAAACAAACATCGCGAGTCGCTACCGTCATGAATAGCTGGGAAAGAACGTTGTTTTTAGTAATAAAATGCTAAAAACTGGTGTAAGTGAGACAACTGGATGAAAAAGAATCGTAAGATATTGTTAGGAGCGAACAGTAGGTAAAAAGACAATTTTTGAAGATAGAAATGTTACAGTACTAAAGTGCATTAGCGCCAATCTTTCTTTAATAAATCATTGATATGAAGTTCAATGTACTAATCGTTCCTGCCCACAGCAATTCTTAACGAAGTACAGTAACATGAGAAGGGGGATAATTGGCATAGAAAAAAGTGTCAACATTTTAAGTAACTCTTTGATGAGAACTGGGGTAGTTAATTAAGTTGATGAGATTGTTCATTAAGAATATACCTGAATACCCCAACAGACCTAACACATTTTAATTGTCATTATGGAATTGTTTATGCATAACATAAATTATGCAAATACAAAAATGATTGATATACAGTGTAGTTTACAAAATAGAACACAAGGATTATGTAGATAGATACTACGCCTAGGCTAGGCCTGGCTAAGTGCACTGCTCAAACATTCATATGTAAAGCAGTTTCACCGCCTGGTTAGTCAGTGTCTCTACTCTACATTGAATTGCATGGTGGTGGTGTTGCCTGTGGCTTGGAAACTTGGAAACTGAACTGGTGTGTGTCCATAAATAGTGATGTAAAACATTTCGCTTAATTGGAAATAACGTTTAGTTTAAATAGTTCTCATATAACCAATACCAAGTACGTACCGAAAACGAAGAAGTTGTTCTCAACAGAGTTTTAAAGATACCCGCCATGTTGTTATGACGTTTCGTATAAAGGTATAAACAGGTATATAAACGTACTTACTAGGTAGGTGGCGCAGTGCAGCAAACATTTCCACAAACAAGGGAATCCCCAATTGATAATATAAAATCTTGTTTGTGTCATGTGACAATACATGGGATTTCGTACTAGGGCCAACCTGTTTCCTGTTTTGCAATATTTTTGATTTGTTTGTTGTTGTTTTTTTTTGTATAAATTTAAACAATTCCGAGTATATTCATTAGACACACACTCTGTCAACATCATCATCAACACCACCACAATTATTTCTGACACCACCCCCGGGCAATGTATATTATTTAGGGAAAGAAGAGAGGGGATGGGTAATGAAAATGGTCGCACACAACAACAAGGCTGGAGGACGATTCAAGAGGGACGGATCCAGAATTTTTCAAACACAGGGGGCACAAGAGTTTTAGAATAGGTAAGTGAGTAGCACATAACTTTTTGCATTGAAATTTTTAAAATTTAGTGGCAAAACAGGGGGACGTGCCCTCCCCCCGTTCCCATACTGGATTCTCCCCTGTTCAATACAGTTGATGATAATAAAAGACGAACACAGAACAGGGAGATTTAAAAAAAAAAAATTTACATCTCCCTGCACAGAACTTTAGCTTTGTGACCTTTAATCCCTAGAGTACAAATACAAATAAAGTTGACTGTTGTGTAATTCTAGTCGCGAATGCCTAGGCCTATGTGCATCTTTCAATTTTACCAAAGGTGATTTTGATTCGACGATGTCTTATTTTTGAAGAGTTATAAGTAGGTATATAATTATTGTGGAGTAATTTTGATTTCTAAACACATATTGTGCTGAATATATAAATTAACAGATAAATATTTTAGGCCCAACAGTTTCTAGCTACTTAGGCCTACAGCGGGACCTACAGGAAGCTAATAAATGTGTATCGGATTGGACGCGAGACGGATTTAAACTTCGACTTGGGTAGGCCCCTAGGACCACCAATTTAGGTCCTGTCCTGGCTAAAAATATTAAGCATAGGCTCTGCAGGGGTGCTGTTACAAGGGGTAATGTTGAATGTTAATGAAAGTTTTGGTGTTGAAGTATAAAAAGAGCAATATGATTAGGGGACTTCCCCTACTTTGGGGAGTTTGCTATGATGACTCTGGAGGGACAGACGAGCTAAAGCTCTAGTCCTAGGTTCAAGGTAAATACCCAAGTTGGTAACACTGTGCCTCAATACGAATAGATGAATATTTCTGACACACTGTGTCCTTTCTCACCATAAGTGGTATGAATGAGAAATATAAAATACAATCGGAAAAAAAATCATAAATAAATATAAATATAATAAATAAATTTATATACAGTATATAT